GTCTGTCTGTCTGTCTGTCTCTCTGTCTGTCTGTCTGTCTCCTCTGTCTCCTCTTTCTCTCTCTCCCCTCTCTCTCTCTCTCTCGCTCGCTCGCTCGCTCGATTCCGGTCTCTGGAACAATAACACAGAATACTTTGAGAGGTTTTACCTCTATCGTTGAAATGAGCATGGCTAACAGCTGGATACAGGAAGACATGGCTGAATTTTTGATCAATAAGTATGCACGTACATTGTCTGTCTCTCTGTCTGTCTGTCTCTCTGTCTGTCTGTCTGGAACAATAACACAATACTTTGAGAGGTTTTACCTCTATCGTTGAAATGAGCATGGCTAACAGCTGGATACAGGAAGACATGGCTGAATTTTTGATCAATAAGTATGCACGTACATCTGTTTTATATACGGTCTACCTAAAATACATAAAGGTCTTGACCCTTTGAAGTTCCATCCTATAGTGTCAGGAACTAACTCTGACACAACCTTTGGCACAGGTTCATAATTCTATCTTGCAACCATTAGTAAGAAAGCTACCTGAATATCTGAAAGACACTGATTTTCATGAGAACAGCCATGTAATGTAGAGGACATGAGGAGAGGAATGGATAGGAGGAACAGCAGGACTAACTTGTGCAGGAGCGTGGGGCGTCACCACAGTCATCCGTGCACCCCACTGCTCAATAGGGAGAGGAAAACGAAAAGAGTTCAAAAAGGGCTTTAGCAGGAGGATCTGAAGGAGGTTAGTCATAGGCGCAAGGCATCAAGGTCTCATTGAAGGTTTGGGAAACCTTAAAAAGGTGCCAAGGAGAATGTTTTGCAAACGTGTTCTGTTCGATGTGATCAGTTCTTCTATCCCAGCTACAAAATCTGTGTGCCGAAACCAATCCACAAGTTGCAGTTGGGTAGATGAGAGCCATAGGTGCGGGATAACAGATTTAGTAGCATTCAGAAGGTGGAAAGTTAGGGAGCGCCGGTAAGTTTGGAAGGACCTCTCCGTATGATGTGAAAGCTGATGGGCAGGACTCTTAGCGTTTATTGAATTTTGTAGTAGGATTTTATTTATCACATTTTACAAATTTGCGGTATGAGTCATTCATTTCCGTGACTTTTTAGGTCCTAATATTATAAGACTCAAGTTTTTTTAAAGTGTTCTAGCACTGGGCATATAGTGGTATTTGCCAATATGGCTTTACTATGTAGCAGTACTATAGTAACACCTGATGCTATTAGGCTATAAAAAGCTGTGTTAGAGGATGCACTCCATACTCCATGACAAAGTTCATTGTGACGTAACGTGTAAGGTGGAGTCCATCTACTTTACTCCTGGTAGTGTGAATGAGATACTGCAGCTTGGCAGGTACAGACATGCTGGTAGCTGACGGCTTTTATACTGTGGGGACTTGGAGCAAAGTTTTTTTTCATTCAGTTGCTGTAGTTTACACGTAAACATGAGTAGTAGTTTGCTGCATTTTAATAAAGTTCTGTTGATGGTATTACACTATGTTGTATTCCATTTTCTTTTCATCTGAGGAGGACTGAGGATCATCCCCATGCTCCCTATAGTACAGCTCTGGGTAGATTTCCACAAGTTCTACAAAGAATTTGGTGTTCTTCAGCCATCATGCTTCCTATCTTCACAAATCTCTCTCTCTCCACAGAAGCAGGAAGTCCTGGGGTAATGAGAACATCAAAACCAGCCCCAACTAATCGATTATGAAAATCATTAATTGCAGCCCTGCAACGGAACACTGGAATGAAGCTTTGAGACACTGTTACTTGCAGTTTATTACATTATAATTTGGGCACTACTTCTTTATATATTTATATATTCTTCTAAAGTATTCACCACTCAAAGAAAAGACACAGACAAGTTGTCACAGTTTATTTTATTAATTAGCGCGGCACTGTTTTTTGTAATTTGAGTATTTCAGTGTGAAGATACACAGGTTATGCTAGCAGCTTGATTTTATTAGTCTTGATTAGTTTCACATACACGTAGGCTCTGTTCACTTAATACATTCCAATGTATCTTGAAATTTTATATCCAGAAGCGCCAGAGATAATCATTCCTCATCAAGAACAAGTGTTTAGGCATTTGTGCAGGGCGCAGCCCCAATACAGTCAGGGAGACTGGGGTAACTGAAAGAAAACACAAAGAGAGGGGCACCTTTCCTGGTGCAGATCAATTTATTCAACAATGGTAAAAAAAATGAACTAGAAGGTACTCACAAGAGTTGAATGACAACAGGCTGTAGGACAGTAAAAAGACCGGAGCAGTGGAGGGATCCGTATGATACGTCCTATGTACAGATCTGTTGTCATTCTACTCTTGTGAGTACCTGCTAGTTAATTTTTTTATAGAATGTGGATTCTAAACATATAAAGAAACAATCTCTCAATTCAAAGGAAAGGAAAACGTATACTTTGTGAGAGTGCCGGAAATGGCTATCTCGGCATGTGATGAGTATATAATAAATGGTCACAACAAATTATAAATTGTAAGAATACCAAACATAACGCGGTGTATCAGTGTATATATGTGTGACAGAAGTGTCGGGCTCGATCCGTGTAGCCCCCAAAAAACTGTTGTTAAGACAATATATCAAAAGAACTTAATTACAATCCGTGTGTGGGTGACCAATAAGTTACAATTGTTTTTCAAGTGCAAACTTGATACAGTGAAAACAAAGAAAGATAATAATTTCAGTGTCCTAAACTTAAAAGAAAAAGGTTGGTAAAGGTCTCGGTATTCTACACACCTATGGTATAAGGGTTATTGTGACACTGAGAATAGGTGTGTATAATGTCCGAATCTGCGCGTATCTTAAAATTTGCGTGTTTTTCCGCACAGAAAACGCAAATGCTATGTGTGAATGGAGCCTTAAAGCGGAATGCTTATTTTTTCACTGGTTCTTGCTGAGGTGATTTAACTGTTTTTTGTTTTTTTTTGTTCTACTTTAACTGAATTGTTTTCTTGTGTTTATTCTTACAATATTCTTCTGTTTATTTACTACTTCTGTTCTTGTATGCTGAGAAGAATTTCAAATTGCTGTGGTCTGTCATCGTACTCCTTTTTTGTATAGGAACTATGTGGATGTAATTCTACACTTACTTTGCAACATTTTATTTGGTATTGATATTCAATTCGTTATAACATCAATTGGGTGTTGCTTCTACTAGGTTACACTAAGGATTGGTATGCTTTCTCAATTATGTGTTGAACATGGTTTTCTCAGTTTGTACATTAAGGGGAGAAGGAAATAATTCTGTGGAATATGTTTCTGCACTGTGTAATTTTGTTTCAAGATCATAGTAAAATTATATGTGTTTCTAGTGATGTGCTGAACACACCTGAGTTCGGTTCTAACAAGAACCTTAGAACAGGGAAAAAGTTCATACAAGAACTTAGAACTTAATGAAAGTCTATGGGACCAGAACTCGTAAAATCAATGTCCCCATTTTGAAGGCTTATATGCAATTTATTGCCCATAAAAAGGGTTATGGGGAGTCGGGTTCTGCCCCGGGGGACATGTATCAATGCAAAAAAAACACCTTTAACACGTTTTTAAAGGAGAAGTGATTTTTAACATTGCCTAAAGTGAAACAAAAAAAATTAAAAATGTATTTTAACTATTGTGCCTGGGGGCTCCCCTTAAACTGCCTGTGAAGTGGCGGATCTGTACGATGTATAGAACCTGCTGCAGCAAAACTGACCTTTTTAAAAAGAAAATAAATGATATTTAATTTGTTGGTAATTGATTTTTCACTTCGAGTCAGTACACACCCTAGGCAGTGCGTTCCGGTCAGATTCTGGCCGGAACGCACTGCCTCCGCATTGCGGCCTGTAGCCACGCCCCGCACCGGATTGCAAGGCACATTGTGCCTGCAGTGCAGTGCGATCAAAATGCTGCAAGCACTATTTTGATCGCACCGGACTGCACTGCAGGCACAATGTGCCTTGCGATCCCGCATGGGCAATTGCATTGCGGCCGAAGGCCGTGGCTACGGTGCCATTCACTTAAATGGCCCGCCATGCCCCCTCCAGCCCGGCAAAAAAATGAGCTGGATTCAGTGCGTTCCGGCCAGAATCGGACCTGAACACACTGCCTATGGTGTGAACTAACCCTTAATCTTGTAAACAACTGCTTGGGGAGGCATCCTGTATGAAGAGGCCACATTCTGGTGTCTCTTTTGCAGACGGATGAAAGTAACAACAGGTGCTTTAAAATCGGGCCGTTGGTGCATTCACAGCGTAACCCTTAAGGGCCTGTTCACATAATTTTCAGGTGCAGATCTGCAGACGCGGTGCTACTCATGCAGTGCGTTTTTGACGCATTTTTGGTCTGGATGCAGACAGTTCATTTTTTTTTTTCTTCAAGCCGTGGGGCTGTCGGTATGCAGATTCTTCCTCCTAAAGGTCATTTCCGCCCTCTCGTTGCATCTGCTGGCTACAGCAATCTGCAGAGAACGAGCTCGCAGGAGATGTCGTTGTTGGGTACGCCCGATCTTGAGGCTCCGGGACTCCAAGGGTCACTTCTGGAGTTTATATGAGGATTTGCGAGCTCACCCGGATAATTTTTTTTCCTTTACTCGTATGTCCATGGAAAGGTAATGGGCATGTTCAAAATGTTTGCAGTTCATGTTTTTACCTCTACCCCAACCTGTCTGTCTATCTCCCACTCTGTCTATCTCTATGTAGAATAAAAAAATGTTTGCTTACCTGCATTGCGTTCGGTTTCCGTTGCGTCTTTGCCGCGTTCGTGCGTTTCCTGACCGGACAAAATGTGACTAGCAGTATTTTTTCTGTCGTAACCTGAACGGACTGCGCACGTGAGAACTGTAGCCCATAAAACCAGTAGGGATACATTGGGATGCATTTTTAGTGCAGGAGCGTACGGATCAGGTCAGCACAGAACGGACGTCGTGTGAACAGGCCCTAAGAGTTATTCTTGACGCGTGCAGGATCGGACCCAGCTCTAAAAATTCTAATGATATGCCCTCGTCACTGCAGCCAACTTGGCAGTATGCTGCCGCTGGGGGAACATGACTGCCAATTTGTTGCCCATCATTGGCACCCCCTCTCTCTAGGCTCATGTTACAACCTTCCTCAACCACAGAACCAACATCAGAGCATTGTAACTGCTGCGCATCCTCCAGCAGCATGTGATTGACACTATATTCAAATAATTCAGCTGACTCCTCCATGCATAATGGTTGGACTATGGCAGGAGTAGCTGTGGACAAGGAGACAGAATAGGCGGCTTTGGCAGCTGCAGTGAAATGCGAACTAGTATGAGCCTGAGTGACAGAGGATGACTATGATTTAGTTATCCACTCCACCACCTCTTCTGCATATTGTGGCTGAATAACACGGCCAGCACCAGATAAAAAGGACAAGCGTGCCCTGCCTGCAGAGGATGTACGATGTACACGACCACGACATTGGCCTGTGGACACAGGCTGCTTGCCCTCTTATAGCTGCATGGGAGCGTCTGCCTCTCCTTGTTGGCCGTTCAGACATGATGCGGGGCTTATTAACATTTTTATTAGAGAATGTGGCATGGGAATTTGGTGCTTGGGTGTAATACTTTATCGAATGTGGTGCTTGGGGCACTATAAACTGTTGTACAATGGCAAAAAATTAAATAAAACAAACGACAAAAAACGGGAACACCTGCGACGCAGAAGGGCTAACACAAATGACAAAAAGTAAAAACAAACAAAAAAAGACAGCAAATATACAGCACAGAAAATACTATATAGAATACAGAGTACTGTATATATCACTAAAATTCTGTATAAAGCACTGACACCAGTTAGCTTTCCCTACAATATACTGCCAGCAAAAAACTATAATTAACTCCAGTAACGCACTACAAAAGGCTGCATTGTATACAGCCTTTATATAGTGTGGGGCTTGGGCTTGACTATAAACCATGATTGGGCAAAGTCATAATTACTTTGCCCAATCATGGCTCTCGCAATGCACTGTGCTGTGATTGGTCAAAGTCTTGCACCTGACCTGTGGTCAGGTGCAATGCTTTAGCCAATCAGGGCTCTCGCAATGCACGCCGAACGCCCTGATACTTCTTGTTTTCGCCGAACACAAGAACTAGCAATGTTCTAGTTGAACAGTTCTTTGACTCAAACATTGAGCCCATCTCTAGTTGTTAAGTTGAATTGTGGTACGGCTTTCTACTCTGTTGAATCCTTTTGCCTCTGGTTTTTCTATTTCACTTACTGTTTTATAACAACTGCAAAATCTGGGAGCTCCCATAACTTGTTGTCCTAGTGTCGGCGGTCACAAGATAGAGAGGTTGAATCTTTGCAGCAGGTACAAATACAATAAGTAAAACCTGTCATAGGGTCTAACCCAGTGGTTCTCAACCTTTCTAGGGCCGGGACCCCTTGGTAACATTTGCCAAGTTGTGGTGACCCCCAATGGTAAACCCACAGTTTGAGAGCCACTGCTTAAAGGACACAACAAATCCAATATTTCAGCGTAACCGTAAGTGTAGTTGGTTGCAGGATAAACTGTACATGACTTTTTACAGCAATGTAATTTTAATGTTTGGTTCTCACCTGTTTCCAGGTATCTGCTGAAACACTCTGCAAACATTGCTGCTGTTAACAGTGACGGTGATGTTCCCCTAGACCTAGCTGAAGATGACTGCATGGAGACTCTGCTCCGTGCAGAAATTGAAAAGCGAGGTAAGATTCCTGGTAGTCCTACTAGTCCCACATAAAGCAACAATAAATACATAACAGATACTTGACTCATTTATTCCAAAGCAGATTTCTAAGATAAAAGAACTTGTTTATTATAGTTTTTCTTGTTGGTACTGTAGTGTGGCATGTATTTTTTGATTTTTTTTTTTTCGTCCCAAGGACACACGTTTTTAGTTAATGTTTGGATTTAGGTAGGTGAATTTTGAGTTATTCTTGCATGCTTGAAATACATTTCTCACTTTGGTAAAATTATAAAAGTAAAGGGGGGACCTGCAAGACTGTACTGAAAGTGTAGTTTCGCTAAAATAACACTATATTGTGTGTGTGTGTGTGTGTGTGTGTACCTCCGGTCCCCTCTCCGGTGTCGGAATGCGGTCTTGGAGACCCCTGATGTCTCCATAAAGAGGACCTGTCGCATTTCTTTGCTATCACACATAGGGGGTTTCTTAGCCCCCCTATGTGATTGACAATAAAGTTAAGTGAGAAAAAAAAATAAAAAGTTGCAAAAAAATATATTTTAAAGTCACGCATGAAAGAATAAAAAAACATTTTTTTTTTAAAGTCCCCACCCATACATACACGCATGCGCATACGCGCGAAAACTACGATTGCAGCCATTACGCCTCACATGTTACATATCGCCGCAAACGTCGCAGTGAGCATTTAATTCTAGGGCCATCAATCACCGATAACCCTAAACTGATGAGCGGTAAATGCTTTTAAACCGTCGCCTATGGTCAAGTTTGGGTATGGTTGTTTTCTCTCCCGTTCATTGAAGGACACAGGGCAACAGATTGTAGATCCTGAATGGTAGGGTATATCTCCACCTGCAGGAGTAGGACGCTAGGCACATAACAAAAAGACAAGACAGCCTAGGGGCGGCCCCTGCTGGTGGCCCAACCCCCCACTTGCTGACAAGTCTCCAGTTTTTTGCCTAGCGTCAGTAGTAAGGAGCTAAAAATTTGTCTCTGGAAATTTTTTTCTTTTCCTCTCATTTTTTTCCCGCTGTTTCTTCTAGCAAGTGTCACCGGGGCGACATGCTGGATGACGGTAGATCCTTGTAGTCTTCCCTGCGTGACCGACGTGCGCATGCAGACAGCCACAGTGGATTTGCTGCGACCTGTGGTTCCTCTCACCGCCTATGGGTTCGTCCCCAGGGGTGCATATGACGGGGGGTCCTGGCCTACCTGTCACAGCGCTCCTCACAGGCTGACGGCGTCATGGCTACGGTCGGGGGCGTTCGACTGGCCGCTTCCCTACTCGTCATGGAGGTGACTCTGGAGAAGATCGAAGCTCTGCTGGATGGGTAAGCTTCGCTGGAGCTGCGCTGGTCAGTCCCGGCTGCCTGCTTCTCCTCCCCCCCTGCCTCGTGGACTCAGGCCGGGCTGTGCTGGGGCTTCTGTGCGGACTGTTCTTGGGGAGGTGTGGATCCCAGGGGCTGGTCGGGGCTTCCCGGGAGCTAGGTTGCAGGTGTGTATACTTTGGCTGCGGGGCCGCGGACAGATCAGCGGTTCATGCAAGACAGGTACTCACAAGCAACCGATGTTAAAAAGCCTGGCAGGTGTGTATGCTTTGGCTGCGGGGCCGCGGCCCGATGGGCGGCCGCTAATCGAGGCCCTGGTCTCGTTGCGGCCTCCGGCAGGCGCCTCAGTCGCCTTCTTGGATAAGGGCAGGTGGCCTCTTCTTGTGAGAGTATGGATCCCAGGGGCTTGTCGGGACTCCCCGGGATCTGGGTGGCCGCTGTGACTCCCTCGGCCGCCATCTTGAATAAGGGCAAGTGCCCTCTTCTTGTGGGAGTATGAATCCCAGGGGCTGGTCGACCTTCGGCCGCGGCTTGTTCGGCGGTTGCGGCCGCTAATAATAAAGGCCCGGGTCTCATTGCGGCCTCCAGCCGGCGCCGCAGCCGCTATCTTGGATAAGGGCAAGTGCCCTTTTTGTGTGCTCCCTTCCACCCTGGTCCCCTCGCAGCTCAGCTCATTCCTCCCTTCGGCCTCGAGACACTGCTGACTACAGAAGCAGGGGGCAGCTCTCCTCACACGTGTGGAGTCGGACGCTGCTGGGGGCTGGGTGCATTACCGCTGGGGGTCGTGAGTGCTGGGGTGTTACTATCCCTCCCTGTTGCGGTCTCCTAGCTGTGCGACTAGTGTGCTGGGTCGGCGGATTATGGGAACATGGGCCTTCTGCGTTACAATGCGAGGGCTGTGGGCTGCGTTCGGCGGATTCCCCGGGTCCCCTGTGTGCGGCCTGTGCACCTGCGCTTTCTTGCCGGTCGCCCGTGCATGCCTCTCTGGGTGGGGTTGGTACCACAGGTACTGTGCTGTCCCTGGAGGTCTTCTCCACTTTGTATAGTTTTGTGACGCGCATCGAACGCGCCTTGACGCAGAGGCCTGCTAAGAAGCGTGCTTTGCCGCTGCCATCCCCTGCCCTCTCGGGGGAGTCCGAGGAGGAAGGGGAGCTTCCCGCGGCGTCGCCTCCTCCTGATCCTGGTGATCCTCACAGCCAGATTCGGGCAGTGGGGATGAGTAGGCGTCTGCGCTCATGGTTCAGGAACGGTAATTGGTTTCCGCTCTAGTACGCGTGGTCGGGGAGACCTTTTAAAATTGACGATACTTCCAGTTCTTCCGCGCTGCCACCGGTGCAGTTTAGGGGCGCATAAGAGTCGGTGTTCCTCCAAGGTGTTTCCTTACATCTCCTCCTTTTTGAGGTCCTCATTTATAAGGAGTGGAAGCGGCCTACTGAGTCTTCTAGGACCCCTAATGTCACCTGTGGACCCCCAAAAAAGCTGATGAAGCAGAGATCTTCTTCGAGCACATAGACGATCGGCGGGCTATGGAGCCACTAATCGCCTATATGTGAAACACCCGGTAACGGGTGTGTGCAATAGTCGGGTCTTTTCGGCCCGTGCGTGCCCGCTAGGGGGCGCGCGCGAGCAGAAAAAATTGCCGTCTGGAGACGGCAACCCGCAAATGCTGCAGTGCCGTCCGTCCGTCTTTTTTACTACGGGCGGACGGCAAGTGGTTAAGGACCACGCCGATTGGGGAGCTGAGGCGTTTTCGCGGGTGCACTTCTGCGTCCGGTCTTGGCTGCTGCTTTAGTCTCTCAGACACTGACTGAGTGGGCAAAAATGCTGCGTTAGGGTCTCGCGGGGGAGAATGTCTCTCCTGCTTTGGATTTAGCGGTACAGTTGGTGCAGGGCCTTAAGGATGTCTGCAACTCGGCCTTGGATGCGGCGCCCCTGGTGTCGAAGTCGGCGGTGACGCTTCGCCGGTTGCTTTGGCTTAAGTGCTGGTAGGCTGATCAGACTTCCAAGAACGCTCTGACGAAATTGCCCTTTACTGGGGACCTTCTGTTGGGGTCAACCTTGGATGAGATCATTAGGGATCACTTTCTCCGCTCAAAAGCGGCCTTTTCGGCCCCCTCCAACAAGGGCAGAAGGTTTAACAAATCCTCCTTCACAATCTTCCAAGCGTCTGTGGCAGCCTAAGTCTGCCAAGCTTGCCGGCAAGCCCCAGTCCGCATGAAGGTCGCGCCCCGGCTCTGGTCCCCAGGGAGGGGTGAGGTCTTCGGCTCTTTGCGGATTTTTGGTTAGCCCACGTCTCCGACCCTTGGGTCCGGGAGCTGGTTTCATCGGGCTACAAGATCCAATTTCAGTCCCGTCCAGGAACAGGTTCTTCCCGTCCAACACGCGACTTTCTCCTCCGCGGTTGGGGGAGGAGCATTTCCAATTTGTGGCACTGCCTTTTGGGCTGGCGTCAACCCTGCGGTTGTTCACCGAGGTGCTTGCCCCGATTCTGGCGCTGTTGCGTTGTCGGGGGGGGGGGGGTTTCGATCGTGGGCTACCTGGACGATCTGCTTCTGCGGGTGGAGTCGCACGCCTCTCCGGTGATGGCTCTGGAGGTCAGGGTGTGGTCCTTGGAGGAGTTTGGTTGGCTCCTGGACCTCTGGAAGCCTTGCCTGATGCCTTATCCACGCCTGGAGTATCTGGGCCTAGGTCTGGACGTGGCCCGGTTTTTCTCCCTCAGAACAAGCTCCTGAAACTTCGTTCCGCAGTCCGGCTGCTGCGGACTCGCCGGTGGTCACCCATTCGCTTTTGCATGTAGGTCTCATGGTGACATACTTCGAGGCGGTGTCCTTAACACTGCACCACACCAGGACCCTGCAGAGGAACATCCTGGTACGGTGGGATAAGTCCCCCCTATCCTTGGACAGGGAAATTCAGGTGTCTCGGGAGGCGTGAGCCTCCCTACGGTGGTGGCGTCAATCTCCGGCCTTGGTGCGGGGGAAGTCTTTCCTTCCTGTGCACTGGATGGTGGTCACCACGGTCGCCAGCCTTTGGGGCTGGGGTGGAGTCCTGGGCGCCTTGACCGTGCAGGGTCGTTGGTCGCCGGAGGAGTCCCGTCTGTCGATGAATGTGTTGGAACTTCGGGCGATTCGCCTTTCCCTCCATTGGTCGACCCGGCTTCAGGATCTGGCGGTTCGGGTCCAGTCGGACAACGCCACCGCGGTGGTGTACTTCAACCACCAGTCAGGAGGTGTTAGGGATTCTCTCCTGGGCGGAGAATCGGGTTCTGGCCCTCTCGGCGGTCTGCATACTGGGGGTGGTCATTTGGCAGGCCGACTACCTCAGTCGGTGGAACCGGGAGAGTGGTCACTGCACCTGGAAGTTTTTCAACAGCTCTGTCTTCGCTGGGTGACGCCGGAGGTGGATCTTCTGGTGTATTGGTTCAACCGGACGGTGGACAGATTCGTGGCCCAGGCTCTGGATCCCTGGGCGGAGGCGGTGGATGCCCTGGTGGCTCCTTGGTGTCTTTACGGTCTGATTTATGCCTTCCCCCCCTCTGTCTTTTTTGCCTCGGCTTCCGCGTCGGATCGCGACCGAGGGCGTCTCCTGGGCGGAGGCGGTGGATGCCCTGGTGGCTCCTTGGTGTCTTTACGGTCTGATTTATGCCTTCCCCCCCTCTCTTTTTTGTGAGTGCGCGCAA